ATGCCGCAGCACGACCTTGCAACCAGCGCCTCCACGCATCTAGAACCCCAGAATCTACAAATACAATCATCACCAACGCACTCCAACTGGAATACAGACCGCCTTTTCCAAACGTGGAACACGCTGTTTGGCCCACCGCCACAGCTAGAACCGTTTCCCGGCGCAGCTGTACCTCCACAAACTCCCTTACCTGCCATGGACAATTACACCTTTGCCAATGTTTCTTCTGGCCCTGCCAATGGTTTCCCTCTACCGGAAATGCAAGCCATGGGACCTTCCTCACAGTTGCCACATTTCGAAAATCCTCCTCAAGTCGGCTTGCAGCCAGAGGCGACGCAGCAGTACGCTGCCACTCCGATGCCGGGACTCTTCTCGCCCAGCATGTGGCAGAATTTGGCGGCGGCTATGTACGAAGACGGGCAGAAGCGCCATTTGTAGGAACACTGGAAGTGAACGTATTGGCTAAGGAAACGTGACCTGTTTTGTTGGGAAATTGACCATGTTCTTTGTAACGAGTGGGGAACTAGAATATTGGAATAACACGGAGACTGATACTGGGAGGAACGGTTTTGGCCAAGTATGTGTTGTAATTTTTTTTTTCAGAAGGGACTCTTTCGTGCTGCGTTGTTTTCTACGGAGTAGAGGGGCCATAAAGGAAAATTCGGCGTCATGGACATGTGCCAATCTGAGGAATTCGACTGAAATTCGAGGAATGATAATAAAAAGCACTTGTTGATTCAATTCTACTTTGTTGGCTACTCGATTGTCGCGTGGCAAGCACTCAGATACTAGAGTGTCGTTTGAATCCCCGGCATGTGCCACTGTCACATCCACGTTCGACCACAGCACAGCACAGCTAGATATTTGACCAAGGTACACACTAAAGCCTACAGTCATCCCGACACATTCAAACGTCATTTGCTTATTGCGTAGCCATGGAGGCTGAACTGACATGTCTGACCTGCTTGCCCAGAATTCTTGGTTGCAGCGTAGCTCACATAAAATCCAGCACAGAACCATTTCCGAAACCGCAAACTCGCCAACCAGCACCTACTATTATACACATTTATTGTTTTCCCGCCGGTGCCTTCTCCCCCCTGCGCGGCCCCCGAAACTTGTAAAAAGTGGGTGAGAAATGCTAGCCCCAGCGTCCACCTTCCCGCTCGGCTTCCAGACGACGCATGCGTTCCTCTTCGTCGGTGCCGTCGCGGGCCTCGCTGCGGCGACTGACTTTCCGGCCTTTGCGACTTGTGCTTTCGTCGGTGCCGTCGTCACGGCTGCGTTTGGAGCCGGCTATGGTTGCGAGACCAGCCATCCTCTGAGCTTCCTTAAGCAAACGCTCGCGGTTGCGGGCTTCGCGCTCAAGAGTATGAGGGTCAACGGGGGTGCCGGACTTGCTGCTCTTATCCCGACTGGTCTTCTCGTGGCTTCGTGGGTTCGGGCCACGGGAGGCAGAAGGTTGTTCGACGGGTGTTGATCGGCCGTCTGTTGAGCCCCTTCTACTGGTACTACCGTGCCTGTGATCTTTATCTCTGTCGCGATCGCGGTCCCGGTCACGGTCCCGATCACGATCCCTGTCCCTGTCCCTGTGTCGGTCTCTGTCTTTGCGATCCTTCTTATCTCTGTTGCGATCTCGGTCACGACGGCGTGTAGAGTCGTGATCCCGATCCCGATGGGATCGATGACGATCGTCATCACGACTCTTGGCCTTGTCCTTTTCCCTTTTGCTCTCATAGTCTCTGTCTCTGTGACCACGATGACTGCCCCTCTTAGAGTCGTCTGGGGAAACGGACCGGGATTTTTCACCATACTTGCTGTCTTTGGAATAATGCTGGTCATCGTCGTCGTCGTAGTGTTTTCTGCTACTGCGATGCTTCTTCCGGCGATGGGATTCATCGTAGCCATCCTCGTTGACAGACTCGGAGCGTTGTCGCCGGCGCCTGTGCGAGCCTTTGTGGCTTCGGCTTCGACTGCCGCTCCTGCTACGGCTCCTGGTGCTTCTTCCAGATCTGGAGCGTGAGCGGTCACGGCTGTGGGGCGGACTATCAACGTCATCTTTCTCACGTCTCTCGTAATCCTTGGACTGTTCCCTACTGTCGTGAGTATCATCGGGAGCAGCGTCTTGATCCTGTTCACGGTCATGGGATTCACTTTGGCTGCGAGATGTAGCTGCTGCGGGCCCAGTCGATGGTCGCGACATAGAGGGTGGCACTGGTTGCTGGGATTGGTTGCCAACTTGGAAACCTCTGGCTCGTAGGTGATGAAGACTAGTATTTGGTAGCCCTTGTCTCATAGCTTTGGGACCAGTTGGGGCATTGATAGGCACATCTGGAGCTGATAAGACTGAACGAATGGCTCCAGACTCGCCCTGGGGGGCCATATTGCTGCTTGCTTCAGCAGCCTGAGTGTCACGGGATGATGGCACGTCAGATTGAGCCTGTGGAGCGCTGGCATTTTCGCCTTCTTGTGTTCCATGGTCTTCTCCCTGGGCGTTATCTTGCTTGGAGTCATTCTCTGGCACATTGGAACCGCCGGATTCGTCGTGTCCATGGGTCTCGACCAGACCCTGGCCCGGATGACTGTGACCACCATGTTGTGAGTACTGTCCGCTCTGATAGTTGGGCATGTTGTTGTACTGGTAGCCTCCTCGACCGTAGCCGCCGTAGTAGCCACGGCCACGGCCGCGACCGCGTCCGAAATTATTGCGGCGATAGTCATTGAAATGACCATAATTACCTTGATTGTAGCCTGTCTGGAATCCCGAGTTGAAATTCCCAAAATCACCATTGCCCATGCCAATAGCATTTTGATTGTAATTACTCTGGTCGTAATTCCACGACTGCGAACCGTTCCAGTTATTATTATTGGAGCCTTGTCCAAATCCTCCTCCAAACCCACCTCCCATGCCGTTCATGCCCATGCCTTGAAAACCACCGTTCATGTACATGTTCTGCATTGTCATCGGGTCCATACCCATTCCCGGCATGCCTGACGCAGAAGAGTTAGCAAGCTGACTATAAAGACAACAGGACGAAACGAAAAAACATACCCATCATTGGGAAGTTGCCCATTCCATTTTGCATGGCCATCATCATCTGCATCTGATTAAAGTCACCAGAGCCTGAGAACATCATGTTGGATATGCCGCCGTTCATCGATTCGGATCCGTAATTTTCGTCGTCGTTACCAGCTTGATCATCGACTTCCTCAGCCTCGTTCTCTCCTCGCGCCTCAGCTTCGTTTGCGGTTCGTGGCTCATGAACGCCGCCTTTTGCAGACGCACTGTCTACTACGCCTCCAAAGTCGGCCCGCGCTGCTAATTCATTATTGACAGAGATGTCCGCCTTGCAAAGTGTTAGTTGATTCCTTGGAAAGTAGCCGTATGTACATCTTTTGCTCAAACGTACCTGTTCGTTTTGCTGCGCTCTTTCTGGCACGACATCGTCTGTCGCATGTGTGCCCACTTCTTCTTGAACACTACTATGGCGTTCCTTGATTTGCGGTACTGCAGAAGCGGAATGTTCGACCTTGCTACCAGGAGGCTGTGTCTCTTCGGCTGGCTCTGCGGTCGTGGTCTCTTTCGGCCGGCTAGCCTCCCGCTTCTTCTCGGCTGTACGCAAAAATACTTTGATAGTGGTTCTCAGGGACTTGTTGGGATTGCAGTCCTCGGCTGACAGAGGCGAGTGCTCGCAAACAGGGCAGGAGGGCAGGAGGTTTGATTGACCTGGTCTACTTGTTAGAGAACGGTGCGTTGCACAAGAGAATAGAAGTCGAGGACATTCGAAAACTAACATGTTTCGCATATGGCTTGCTCACAGCAAGGTAACCGAAAAGCGTTTACTGCAAGCTTGCTGCAGATTGCGCATCGCAACTTTATGGGAATGTCATCCGGCGACAGAGAGCTTCAAAACCCAGTTAGCTTTTGGATATGAGTATTCCCATTTCAAAATATCCTTCATCATACCGTATGAGCTCAGCCTGAGCCTCAGAAATGGACGAGGCCATGCCGTCGACATCCAGGTTGAACAGTCCTACCGTGACTGCATCGGGGAAGGACCGAGATCGCAAATATAAACGTCCTCGCCGTGGTGATTGCGTAATTTAAAGAAGGATAATTGGTGCTGAAGAAGTGCTTTATATTTGACCACTTCGAGTTGGCGGTGGTCGCCGTGAAATGCAGCTTTTCAACTCATGAAAAGTTTGGATAAAAAAAAAAAAATACTCGACATCTGTTAGGAAATCGACTTGAAGTTTCTGCTTTGAATGAGGAGTTTGGCGCTCTTCTTTTAGAAAAAAGTGGGCCAGCCTGTGAAATCAACAGCAACTCACGTGATCATCCGTTGGAAGAGGTTGACAGGGACCACATCTTCACAGCCGTTTTTGGGGCTGACAAGGCATGGGAATGGGCTGGGGGATAATCTGAGCGAGGATGCTTTTTTTCTGTTTATTTGAATGAGCTGGGGTTGATGTGAGCTCATGGTTTTTCTGGATGGTAGAGTTGGCTGTTGTCGCACTTCCAGCCAGGTTGGCAGAGATGTACGGATGTACTCCGTACCACCACATGAAGATGAGCTTTTGATTTTTGTTAGAAAAGTCGATAAATGCTCAAAACCTCAATTGGATTGAGAGGCCGCCAACAAAATACATGGAAACTCTTGCAGTTTCATAGTGATCATCTTGAAGATCATTCAGTCCAACAACGTGGGCCCCGTTGATTGTCATAGTTTCAAATTTCCAGCGACTGTCTGTCTTTTTTGCCCTCCAGGCCGACGACGCTGTGATAGGAGCGACTATAGTCAAATATCTAGATAGACAACAAAGGTAGGATGAATAAACACAAGAATGATTCCCAGTACGTAAAAGTAAAAGAACAACGTTTGACTCCGAATTGCACGCCTTTGCATCAGACACCATCAATTAGCCAGCACAAAGCAGAATAATAGAACTCGAACAATTCCCTGCCTGCATACTTGACCCAATAGTCTCACAGCGCCCTATAACTAACAAGCGCATCCATCCTTTGCACCAGCATCCCTGGGACCACCCAAGTTGACTCTCTGCTCTTCGCCGGCTCGATTGGCAGTACCGGCGGCGCCGGGGCCTCTGGCTGACTTCAAGGACGTTTCGGGGATGGCATTGGCAATGGCGGTAAACACTTCCGTAACGTTGTGACCAGTCTTTGCGCTAGTCTCGAAGAACAACAGGCTTTCCTCCTCAGCGTATGCCTTGGCCTCTTCTGTTGAGACCTTGCGGGCGTCGCCTGACTCCTCACCATCTTCAGCAGCTTCATTTCCAGTCGCAGAGTCGCTAGCCAGATCTAGCTTGTTTCCGACAAGAGCGATGACAATCCCGGGCGATGCTTGCCGTTGCAGCTCGGCAACCCAGTGCTTGGCTTTGATGAGAGATGTAGGCTTGGTAAGATCGTAGACGACAAGGGCGGCTTGGGCATTTCGATAGTACATGGGCGCCAGAGAAGCGAAGCGCTCCTGGCCGGCGGTATCCCAGATTTCGAACTTGATGGTGCGAGAAGGAAGATTACATTTTTGTGTCAAGAACGCAGCTGTAGGGACGGACATGTGGTGTTAGCTGGCTAACTGTTGCTACAGGCGACTTGCAAATTATTGCGCATGCTACCGTTCCGTAGATGACGGATCAACTGACCTCCAATAGTGGGCTCCTTGTTCTCCTGGAAGTCGTTGTTGACGAATCGAAGGACCAACGAGGACTGAGTCGCGGCAATTAGCATAATGAAGCAAGGCAGGGTGGCGGCGGGACAAGATCAAGTCTACCTTTCCAACAGCAGCCTCGCCGAGAAGAACCAGCTTGACGCTGCTGCTCGGTTTCGGAGCATTCGCAGAATCGGCCATCGTTTTGCTGCTGGTCGAGACTGACTGCCTTCGTGGGTGTTGATTGCTGGATAGTTTGCAACGAATAGGTGTATGCAGCAGGCTAACTCTCAGGCGACCGAGGGGTATGGCTGGCTGAAGGTAGTGGGAGAGAATCCAGCTATGTTGGGGTGGGCGTTAAGGCGTTGAAGGTCAGTTGCAAAGGCTGCAGTTGGACGCAGAGCGATGACGACGAGGTGTCGAGGTGCCGATGATGCAGCGCCTCCAACACGCCAGGCAGATGATAGTACCAGAGAGGCCGAAAGAGCTTGCCTTGTCGCCTGCTTGCGTGCTTCCTACGTATTGCCCAGTAACCTTAAGATACATGCATCAGCCTCAGCACACGCCCTGGTAGTGTCTCGCGGGGCGCTGTTGAGCTTCTAGTGGACGCAACACCCTGTACACATAAGTACACCCTTGTGCGAGTACGGAGGTACTTGGCACCACCGCAGTTCTCAAGTGCTGTCGAAGCTGAACTCGGCGACTGTACCCGCAGCGGCAGAAAAATGTTCACCGCCAAAAATTCTAGACCTGGTGCGGACCTCATCAATGCTGCGTCGGCAAACTCTACATGCTAGTAGTACAATCATTCAGCCTACACAATTTGGGATAATCGACCGACCGGAATCTCCATAAAGCGCTATTATGGCCTTGGGAACAGAGGGCCCGTCCAATGGCCCGAAACCGCCCAAACGCAATCTCTTGGATGACGGCGATTCCGACTCTGATGGAGGCGCTCAGTTAGAAAAAAGCGACTTAAAGGTTAATGAAGAATATGCCCGTCGCTTCGAATATAACAAGAAGCGTGAAGAGAAGCACAAGCGTAAGTAAGCGGCCCTTGTATCCCTTGTATTTATATCTGTTCTATCCCACCTGCCTCAAGGCCGTGCCTCAAGCTAACTTATCGAAGTGGAAGAGAAGTTCAAGAACAGTGGCAAGGGCCAGGATGATGATGACGATGAATCATCATCATCATCTAATGAAACCGAAGACGAAGATGGTTTCCTAGCCACCGAAGACTTGGACGCTCAGATCTCTGCCACTCTACATGCCATTCGAAACAAGGACCCGCGGTTGTATGACAAAAACTACAAGTTCATAGACCTTCCCGATGAGGACACGGCGGGGACCAAGGAAAAGAAAGAAAAGCCCGTGTTTCTTCGAGATTATCACCGAGAAAAGCTCCTACAAGGAGCTGCAGCTACCTCCGACGGCGAAGAGGACCCTGTTCCGCAAACCTACGCCGAGGAACAGGACGCCCTCAGGAAGAGTATTGTCTCAGAGTTTAACACTGCTGGAGCAGTGGATGACTCTGATGACTCCGACTCCGATGGTTTTATGAAGAAGAAAGCACCCGCCGAAATAGAAAAGACCGAAAATGGCGTCCACCCTGCGCGAGCGGCTGCCCTGAAAATTTCTGACCTGGACATAGTCAATGCTGATAAGGACCCTGAAACATACCTCTCCAACTTCTTGTCCGCCAGAGCCTGGATACCAGAGGAAGGAGGACGCTGGAAAGCTTTCGAATCAGATGAAGGGGAGGATGATGATCGAGCCGATGAGTTCGAACAGGCCTACAACATGCGATTCGAGAACCCAGAAAAGAGCAACGAAGTCCTCCAATCTTATGCACGTGATTTTGCTGCTGCGCGATCGGTCAGAAGAGAGGAAAAGACCGGCAGACAGCGTCAAAGAGAAATAGAGAAGCAGAAGAAGGAGGAGGAAAAGCGCCAGAGACGCGAAGACAAGGCCCGCTTGCGCAAGCTCAAGCTCGAAGAGACCGAGGAGAAACTCCGCAAGGTCAAGCAGGCGGCTGGTGCCGTTGGCAAGGAGTTAACGGAGCAGGAATGGATGAAGTTTCTTGACGAAGCATGGGAAAATGACAAGTGGGAGGAAGAAATGCAGAAGCGATTTGGCGACGACTATTACGCTATGGAGGATAACGCCACTGCAGCATCTGATGGCGGGGACGATGATATCGAGAAAAAGAAGAAGAAGAAGAAGCACGCAGAGAAGCCCAAGTGGGACGACGACATTGACATCAAAGACCTCATCCCCGACTTTGAAGTTGAGGACCAAGCCAAGCTCCGCATCAGTCTCAGCGACGAAGACGACGAAAATCAAGATTCCGATGCGCCTCCCTCTAAAAAGCGAAAAACATCAGAACACAAGCGCGCCCGCCTCGAATCCCAAAAGCAAGCCCGCAAAGAGCGTTTCAAGCTAGAAGCCCTCGTCGATGCCAAACTTGAACTCGACAACCACGAGCTCCTTAGCTCCAACTCCGGAATGACCTTTAGGTATCGCGAAACGTCCCCGCAATCATTCGGAATGACGGCTCGAGACATCCTCCTCGCCCCTTCGGACAAGGATCTGAACCAGTTTTTCGGCCTCAAGAAACTCGCGCCCTTTAGAGATCCTGAGAAGAAACATCGTGATAAGAAGCGTCTTGGTAAGAAGGCACGTCTCAGAGAGTGGCGAAGAGGTACATTCGGAAAGGAGTTTGAGAAGGAGGGGCCTACGTATGGGTTTGAAATGGTCATGGATGAGGAGGATGTCATAATGGATGGAGTACCTGACAAGGCCGTTACGGGCGAGTCCGTACATGTGGTTGGGGATGTTGGCGCTAGAAAGAAGAAAAGAAAGAGATCCAAGGGTAAGAAGAAGGGAGGTGCCGTGGAAGCCGAGTAAGTGGTGTCTGTTGGGTATAATTTCAAAAAAGGGGCGGCTGAAAGGAAATGCGTATTAGTTCATCATGACACGGCATATAGATTGGCGTAATGATACCTCTTTGTACTAACAAGAAGCAGCCAGGTGATTTGCGTTTTTTTGAGGATAAAAAACAAAGCAAGGATTAACGTGTTCCCTATTCATTTACATGTAATTACATTATATTTGGTTTTCGGGTATATCGATCAGATGCAATGCACCCCCGCATTTTGGATATACACCACACCATGTCGCACCGGACGCCGCGTGTTGTGAACCATGCATATACATAATACATTCCTGCTGCCCTTTTGTCAACCCTGGAAGTCTCTGATCCATCTATGCTCCGAGAGAAAGGCCCAATGACAATGATAATAAAATACAAATCGCTCCTCGTATTTCGCAACCAGCCCAGCCGAAAATGTGCATTCGAAGACGAATGTAAAAGAAGAAAGAAACTTCGAACGTGAACTCGATCCGAACCAGACCCATTTTTCGTGGATATGCGCCGCTAATGCCTCCCTAGCTTTGTCATGGTGTTGCCAAAGCAATGATGATAGTCCCCATGTCAGACCTAAAAGTCGTCTATCTGTGCATCAAACACTGGCGATGATACACCCTCCTGCTGATCTTCAATATGTAGTGTTCCTCTTGTTGCTTCCGTGCCTGTTTCCATCCCACGCGGGAAAGGAAACATATCAAAGAAAGCCACATCAAGTGTGACAAATGAATAATATGCTCGACGGCTGGCTACACCAGTGATCGGTGATAATCAAACTGCAACAATGTAAGCAAGACTACAATGTGTGCCGTAAGCCATCCATTGCATTAGGCATCGTCATACCATTGGTTCCAAACATGGAGCCAAATAGATCCATGGCAGGGTTGCTTCCAGTCTCCCCTTGGCCAGAAGGATTCTGTACACTTTGTGACCCAGGCGGCTCCATGCCAGCAAAAGGCATAAACCATCCGGGGGGAAGGTCACTACCTGTAAATGCAATCAGCCCGGCAGCACCAATCTGGCCCTGGTTTTGAGGCTGTTGTGGGAGATCTTGCCCACTATCTATCTTCAGGGGACGTTGATCCGGATTTGGCATCTTGGCTTGACCCTTGGCATGCCAGTTTGGTGTGCTGCCATCCATCATACTCTGATTACCGGGAGATAATGTGTATCCATAAGAAACCTGCCCGTCTAGGTTCTGTGACATCTCGTTGGATTGCTGTCCCATACTGCACATCTGTAGTATATCCTGTGAGAAGTATGGAGACTGGCTGGAGCCTTGCCGAGGGAATGACGTGACTTGCACAGGGCTCATTGGAGACATTGTCGTGTAGGATTGCGCCTGGGTCTGAGACAGCCCAACGGAATTGAATGCCGCCGCACCAGATCCGCTCGTCTGGCCACCCAAGGATACTGGGGCTTGCGGTGAGGCGGACATCTGTGTCTGAATTCTCAGGGGACCTCCAGTATGTTGTCCTATACCTGATTCAACGGACTTGTTGCTATCTTGCCGGCTGATGAGAGCATCACTAGTATTCTTTGAAGGCTGCTTGCGCTTGATACCAGGGCCCTGAGAAGCAGCTCTGCCCTCCGTACTGGATGGAGAAGCTAAACTAGTGAAGAAGTCTTCGACAGATTGCAGCTCTGGTTTCTGTTCCAATACAGCGTCTTCACCCTTGTCTCTTCTTCGCTGATATGTAGGTTCTGCAACATCGAACTCACTAACCCCGTGAGGATATCGGTTGAACCAGTCTGAATACTGTAAAATTGGCCATGATGTAGATCCTTGTGCACCAAGCCTCCCACATCGTGATGCCTCCAAGGCATTTCTGTACTGAGTTCGAATATTTTCCACCATCCAGTGGAACATGCCCCAGTATCGCATCGCTTTTCGTAGGAACTTGATGCTGATGCCGGCATTAACCTCAGCAGTCGCCTTGACTGCTGCATTGCCAGAGAATATTGCTAGAATGTGAATATTGGTGGCGGAGAAGGCACAGTAGCCTGCAAATGGAGCCGTCACATTGCACTTGGCATGTTCAGCATCCCGTAGCATCTCAGAGATCCGATTCGCAGCCACAACCGTCCTGGCACTGCCTTGTGCCAAAAATTCGGGGGGAGCGTCATTACCACCCGCGTTATTTGCCCAGGCAATAGGCGCCTTATGAAGGAATAGTATATTTTGCTGAATTGACAGATGCATTAGTAAAAACTGGCTGGCTGTTTTCTCAGTCGAGTGCAAGCTCAGGTTGTCTGTAGAATATTGCAGCGAATC